GCCGACATTTTGTTAGGATTTTGCCACTTTTTGAGGTTTCGGGTGTGTTTAGGTGAGCTTTCTTTTTGAAGAAATAACAAAGAAGTTTTCGGCATGATTTTGGCTGAAAAAGACATGTCAATTGGAGAATGCTAAGATTTCTAAGTGTGTTGATCATATTTTTGCCTTGATCCGAGGCCCCTTTTTTTTAGAGTAGAAGATTGGATTTTCAATCAATTTTCAACCATTTTCTTCCTGTGTTAGTGTCCCTATTTATAGATGATTTTTAGAGATTTTTTTGTCATTTTTATTAGTTGTCATTCCATCATTATGTTGGAAGTCGTGATTAAGTCCAAACTTCAATATTTTGGTTGACTTTTGTGCTTTCATAATACTTATCATACAATATGTTGTGTGAACTCATGGATTTGCACATAAGATCATGCTAATTTGATTATGTTAGGATGCAAATTAAAAATGACGTCTCTAGGCCGAGCTGTGACCTTTATTTTCATTTTTTGGATGATGCTTCCAATTTTCCTTTTATTTGAGTGTTAAGTCATACGTGTTCCACAACAAGGTGGTTCTGTTGGAATTGAACCGGGTTCAATTGGCTGCTTCCGAATTTGGTAAAAACGTGTTTTGGCGAATGCAACTCTTTTAATCCAGCTTATCACTGGATATGCGACACGTGGACTGAAGATGGCCGTTGGATTTGCTTTTGGATGGTTCTAATATCAATGCCATTTCATTTTGCATTAACTCAAGAGTCGATTCTAGAGTTTTCCTTCATTCGTTCTCTCTCGCTCTGGCTACACCTTTTTGAATACTTCTCTCTGATTTCTCTCTGTAAATCAAATCCCTGATTTGAGTTTGTATTGTGTAAGAGAGTTATTCATTTGTGGAGATATTCTGAGTGAATATATGTGTGTAGTGTTCGTGTGGCTGTGTAGTTGTTCCTGTTGATTTAGTGTTCGATTCTGTGTGATTCGAGTAGATCTGCTGCTGTATAATTGAGAGATAAGTGTTCTTGTACTTTCTTTGTTATTGTTCTGAACATTCTTGTAACATTTGTTGTCGATTTGGGCTTTATAGTGGAACCGAACATCATCCATAATATTGGATGCTCAAAAGGGGATGTAGGTA